TGCGCTTTTTTACTTCATAGCTCCATTTAGGGATCGCTCACCAGACATGGAGAGCAGTTTTGAGCTCAACTCAGCTTCAAGATACTACGGCCTAAAACTCATTTAATTGGCCAGGTTGACCTACTGACCTTCTCTTGTGAGGATGCAACCGCTAATGCTCAAACGTAGAGCTAGAGTAGTTAGCATTAAAAGCACCCAAGTCTCAGGATAGGTATCAAAACAGAGGCTCTTTTGAGGGGAAAGTTAATTGAGGTCATCTGATGAAGGGTTTGCTATGCTTTTCGTCTTGAATATCTTTAACGGTGTCTGTTTTGCAGTTATTATGCCATCGCAACCAGAATTCAACGTCGATGCTCCCGACAACGTGATTCGTGTCCCAGCTGGCACAGACTACATAGTTACGTGTAGTTCTACGGGTTTCCCTCCGCCTGACATTCGCTGGGTGGACAGCGAAGGAAATGTAATCACTTTTGAAATGCAGCTCCTTAGAGGCTTACATGTATAGAACGCTAAATTAATCCCTTTAGCAACTTTCCGATGGTCCACAGTTGAAGTTAATTGACGTGAGAAGAACCATCAAAGCGAAATGTTTGGCTGAAAACAGAGGAGGCCTCAAGGAGACCGACTTCACCGTATTTGTGGCAGGTGAGGTTTTTACCAATGCCTTGCACCTATGTGACAGGTCCAGATGAGAGTCTTTTCGCTGCACAAATGGCATCAGGAACATAAGATCAGAATTACAGGGCCGGGAACTGCACCAGAAAACGTCCAGCTTCACGCGGACAAACCAGTAACCATATCGGTACAGTGGGATCCTCCATTGATTCCGAATGGAAATATTACCAAATATATTGTCTATTATACACCTTTGGACGACCAGGTAAGTCATTCAACCAACCAAGATTTTAGTTTTTTGCCAACAACTGGTCCTTCAGGATCCCGCTCACCAAATCGGTCAAGTGCAGTCGAGACCGATCAACGAATGGGTGACATACCATGACACACCGGACACTGATGGCACGAGGAAGGCTGAACTGAAAGATTTTGTCGAGACCGATACGGCTTACGCTGTCGTAGTACAAGCGATCAACGACGACGGACCAGGTCCCTACTCGAACCAGTTCACGATCAGAACCATGTCACGAGGTGAAACTACCAACAATGCTATATCCCATAAATGTTTGTTTAGTTACGAGGATAGCTTTAACGAGAGCGTTTTCAGCTCGCGAAGGACCACCAGTGGACTTGAGGGTGGATCCAGATGGACAAAGATCTGCGATGATTGAGTGGAAGGAGCCGGTTACCACGGATGTGAAACCTCTTGGTTATGAAATCTACTACGTGCCTGGAGAGAAGAGCGTTGACGCCGACGACCTCATCTTGAGCGACTGGTTCGTGGTTGACTATTTTGTAATAGAACGACGTCGTATAACATTTTGAGCAGCGTTATTCCCCTACTTCGTTCAATTAGCCTCACTCACTATGGACCTTCTTGTTCAGTAAGAATGCTCGATAGATCCTCGAGGGTTCGACACCTTCTGCGTTTTTTTGCGCCTTTCCGATGAACATTCTTCTTTGTCGTCACATGAACAGAATGGTAACGACCGTTGAAGCAAAACTGAATACCAAGGAATTACGTGAAGTGGAAGTACAACCTCCGAAATACAAGACTGACTTTTCTTAGCCCTTTTCGGCCTTGCGTGAACAATTGCCGCAAGGCTGAAGAAGCGGCTACGAACGCTTACGTCAAAAGCTTCAATTCAAAGAGGGTTGGAAGCATCCTATTTCGTGGTTTATGAAACATTCCATCGGGATTCCTCATTGAGCCAGCGCACATTTACTACCTCTTTTCTGCAGCTTCTCGTTAGCCAATTTTGCGTAACACGAATTTGATGATATAAAAGTTCCTGCACCGTTTCAAATGAAATTAAGAGTGGCATGCAAGGTGTCTTTTTCTAGGTTATGCCGAGTAAGTCTTATCGATGTTTTGACCTAATATGGATTGAATTACAGCTCCAGTACTTCTAAAAATTTTCCCATGAATGAGTAGTTATCCATCGACAATCGAAAGGAATATTCTTTTTCTACTAGGATCTGGCAATTACCTGTTAATTGAATAACTTGATTTTATAATTTAACATTTGGATGAAAAGTCCCTACATCAAGCAAACATCCGTTTGCATTAGCGCCCTCATTTTGTTCCGCTCAGAATAAGCCTCAAAGAATCGCATGGCACGCGTAATGTCAATTTTTCTCTCTAGCCTTGACTCATTGCTAACATTGGCTGTTCCGCGCCAACACCGTTCTGGGCTTGTCAAAATCGACGCATTTGTGACAGGAACAAGGACCGTCGCAAACAGTCGCCCTGATGATTTAATAACGTCTCCCTTCTAGCCTTCTGTCACGTACGGTACTCGCCATGGAACTTCAAAAATTCACGCGAACAATGCACTTTTTATTTTTGTCTTTGTCATAAATCAGTTTAAACTAGTATTTTTCCAAATCTGGTGATACCACTGACTCATCTCGTCGAATCCTACAAAACGATGTTTTCAAGTTGTGAAAGAGCTTCATCTGGAATTGCGCCATGCACTCGGGTTTTATCCAAGAAGTGTTTGTTTGCACTTGCAATTTCTTGCGAACACACATTGTTGGCTAATCAGATCCGCCTCCAAGGGAGCCAAATGCGGATCAATCAGCCAAAAATGTTTCCCTATGCTATCGAAATAGCTCTTCAGAAGAACGATGTGACATTCTAATATCTTTCTGTTCGTAAAGAATGAAAAAATAATTGATTGTCGGTTCTTTCAGGTCCAAGATAGTGATCGATGATCCGAGTAAACTTACGCACAGGATCCAGAATTTGTTGCAACCAGACACCGACTACGTCTTCAAAATTCGTGCCATTTATCCAGATGGTCCAAGTGTGTTCTCCGAACCATGCATCATGAAGACTCTTCCAGACGGTACGCTCCCAGCACACTTACCAACTATCATTCCTTCAAAAATTACCAGTTAGATACCTCATTGAAGAATATTTTTCAATCATAAGCAAAAGTCCCACAAAATTCTCAACGTCACCATTCATCTCATGGTTAGAGAAATTGATTTGATCCAATGGAATGTTAACATATTTTCTAACAATTCAGGAAATGCGCCCTACATTCAAATTTCGACTGGTGAAAATGGCGTCGAAGGCAGTACGAACATTGATGTCCTGCCTGGATCTCAGATCACTGTCTCCTGTAACGCTACTGGTCTTCCACTGCCGTCAGTGAAATGGATTCGTGGTGGTACATACGAGATCGATCCGAGCACGGTGAGGATGAAATACGAAACGTCCATAATTTATCGATGAATTCTTTCCATATACAGGTTGATACCGCGACTTCACATGCACAATTCTCACTGCAAGTGGCTAACATCACAGAAGACACCACATTCAACTGCGTGGCACAAAACCCGCTCGGCCACGCAAATTGGACCATAAACGTCAATTTGTTGCCAGGTATCCCTACCATACTTGGTGCTCGAAGATGCTTCTCTCTAGATGATATTTCAAATTTCAAATTCGTTTCATCATTTCAGGGCTCGAACCGGAATGGAAGGATGATTTTGTCGTTTCCAAAACTGAAAACGGTGAAGTTGTTCTGGCCTTCAGTGATAACCTGCCTGACTATCTCAAACCACCGGTAATTAAACTTATCCTTGGGCAGATGCCGAAGGCACAAACAAAATGAATTTCAACAATTCAGAGTGATTGGGTAATAAAGTATACCGACAATCCCGATCTACCGAAGGATGAATGGAAGGTTATTCCATCCGATTCTGGACCACTGACAAGAATCACTGTACCCGATATGGAACCAGGCACTTACTACTACCTTGTTGTCGACAGTCCTGACAAGGGAATCCAAACGCCTACTCTACTAGTCATGACTCCAAGTTAGTTGAATGCTATTTCAATCTCAACAATATAAAATTTGTCGCATTCGGGGCTTACTACAGCAGAGCACGAGGGCTACTGGAGTGCTGACCATAAGAATTGGCACTTTGATTGAGTACGAGTTTAGCCATTCATTCTTCAAAGAATTTAGTTTTTCGAAGCATTTGAGCCTCGTGGTTTCTG